CAAATTAAACCCTGCGGCTCATGACGATACATTGATGTGTAAAGACACGAAACGATCGGTCTGTGCAAGAAACTGAACAGTATTTATATCATTTTTTACCTCTGATCCACCGCAATGTCCGAACTGTCCAGAGCGCATTCACAACTTGCATAGTAGACATAGCTATATATATATAAGTAGATGTCTCATTAGTTACTGTTTCTATGGGCAGCGGGAATCTACTTATGTATTATGTATATATCTATGTCTACTATGCCAGAGCACGTACACGCGTCGGATGTTGTGAATGCGCTCAGGACAGTTCGGACATTGCGGTGAATCAGAGGTAAAAAATTATATCTTGCACAGAGCGATCGTTTCGTGTCTTAAGACATCAATGTATCGTCACGAGCCGCAGGGTTTAATTTGGTTTTGTTTGTGTATGTTTTTTTTACTCTCAAAGCCGTGATTCCCATCCACTTCCATTATATGACTGACAGACTGCAACGGTTTGAGTTAAAAATCTCCGTTTGTGTTCTACTGAAGAAACAAAGTCACTACATCTTGGATGCCCTGGGGGTAAACAGATAAACATCACATTTTCATTTGTGGGTGAACTATCCCTTTAATAATCACCTTACTAACTATTATTAAGCATCAAATCACGTATTTATTGAGGTAAAAGTCATAGTTAAGAGTTAGTTAATAGTGAGAATTGTTCCCTGAACTAAAGTGTGACCATTAAAACTATTAAAAAATGTTTTTGGTAATTGAAATAAAGCTGAAATAAATTTTAATATAAATATTAGATAAAAAAATGTAAAATTAGAAATGTCAACTAGCTGATATAAAATTCTAACTAAAACTTGAGAGGCACTTTCTGTGTGTGTGTATGCTTCAGTGTCTGCGCTCAGAAAACTGGACCGAATTGAGCTCTCTCTTGCGTCGTCAGATTTATCTATATGTCTGCTCTTTTCTTACTCCCACATATTGACATTTTTGAACGTTTTATGAGACGTAAGTGTATGTTAGCTTATGTCCCGCCGGTTCATATGTACGCATCTAACCTCTGAACCATGCAGCAGATTCGTTCTGAATGAATCTCTTCCCAAATCGTCCCTTCCTAACATTTTCGTCTCGTATTTATTCGTTGCCGAAAATGTCAATAGATTTACGTCATAGCTTTTGTAATTCAAAAATAGTTTTATTTCATTATAGTCTCGTTGTCGTTGGTGAAAAAATTAACATTGTACAGTATTCCGTTCATATGTGTAGCTTTATTCCGTAAACATTAACAGTGGTCTTCCCTATTATAAGAACAGCACAGAAGCGTGTGTAGATGAAGAGTCTCACCAGGTCTGTTTCATGAGGATCTTGAAGCCGTCGGGACAGGTGGACGGCACAGGCAGATGGAGGCTGTTACTCCCCACACCCCAGATGATGGCAGACGAGTCCACGTCCTTATAGGGGATCTCACCAGTCAGCAGCTCCCATAACACCACCCCGAATGACCTACAAACACACAAAAATCAGCATTCACAGCTTACACTACACACACTACTGCTCTAACGCTTGAGTTCTTAATATTTCTGAAAGAAGCCTCTTATGCTCACCAAGGCTGTATTTATTTGATCAAAAATACTGTAAAAATAATGAAATATTATTACAATTTAAGTAACAGTTTTCTATGTGAATATATTGTAAAATGTAATTTATTTCTGTGATCAAAGCTGAATTTTCAGCATCATTACTCCACTCTTCAGTGTCACATGATCTTCAGAAATCATTCTAATATGCTGATTTGCTGCTCGAGAAACAATTCTGATTATTATCGATATCACTGCATTAGCTCACACTCACCAAATATCTACTTTCTCCGACACCGGCTCATTCCGGATCACTTCGGGAGCCATCCAGGCCACCGTACCGGCAAATGACATCTTCATACTCTTGTCACTGAGCTCTTTAGATGTTCCAAAGTCTGAGATCTTCACGTTGTCATTTTGAGTGACTAGCACACTGCAAAAGAAAACACACACAAACGCATGACACGATGCTGTCCGTTTATTTCCATATATACTGTAAGTGATTTGAGATTTGTTAAGTGTTTTTGAGCGTTTTATGCATCTGATAAAGTAAGCATTTTTGTTAATTGAAATAAAGCTGAGAATAAAAGAAAACATAAATATTAAGTGAAAAACCGAACCCTGGTATTGTTAAAAATCTGGGTACAGCTGTTGTGAAACCTTTTGGATTCAATGCAATTGCTCACTAAGATGAAAATAAATAAATAAACAAAAATAGCAAACCTTTAACCTTTAATCTTTTTTTTGTAATGTGTGGGAACCTTTAATAGTTCCCATACATTACAAAAAATGAGAACATGCTTTTTTTAAACTATTTAATAATTATTTTATTAACATTTAACAATATAAAGGGGTAATATGATGAGATTTAAATTTTTCCTTCCTCTTTGGTGTAGAGTAGCGCTTGTTTGTCATTTCTCCAATCACAAATGCAGACATGGTTTTAGGTTTACGCGACACGATGCAATGCAACGCGTAAAAAAAACAGTATAAATCATTATAATCCGTAATTATGTCCCCACTGGATGCAACAAATGCCTCGTTTATAATGGGTTTTAATGTTTTGTCTCATCGCTACGGGACACAGCATCACAGTATGGTGAGGGGCGTAACATTTCCGTCACACGCTTGAGGAATTCAGCCAATCACAACGCACTGGATAGCTGGCCAATCACAGCACATCTCGCTTTTCAGACCGATGAGTTTTGTAAAAATCGACACGTTTCAGAAAGGCGGGGCATAGAGGAGAAACAATAATGTACAGTATGTGGAAAATAATGTGTTTTTTTAACCTTAAACCGCATAAACACATTTCATTACACCAAATACACAAAATAATGTTCTTTTTAGCAACACCATATGACCCCTTTAATAATATTTAACAATTATTTTGTAACATGTTTTAAAGCAGAAGTAGTGTAGAAAAGCACTTATTCTGTGTGCTTTCCTAAAGCTTAAACAGTAGAGCATTGCACTCGCAACACCAGGATCATGGGTTCGAGTCCCAGCTAAAGTAACAGGCATGAACTGAAAATGAACCATCAATGCAGTGTACATTTCTTCAGATAAAAGCATCTGCCAAATGCATAAAAGTAAATGTAAATACCCTTAGAGGGTAGTTGAAATTGACCCATGAACATAATAATTGTAATATAAATTTTGTATACATATTACACAAAACTTTAGTGTGTCAAAACTTTGCATGCATGTTCATGATCCTAAATAAGGAAAAAGTCACAAAATATCAAGAAAATATATCATTGGTTAACCAATATTTCCAACAACTCAAAAATCGAGGTGGGTCAAATTAACTGACAACACAATTTGCATTAAACCTTAATTAAAAACAATTATAATAATAATAATTTGCCTTGGCAACTAAATTGGAGTCCTAAAATGAAATAGTATGTTTTAAAACAATTTAACCTTTTAAACAGAAGCAGTGTGGAAAAGTACTTATTCTGTGTGCTTTCTTGAAGCTTTCAAAGAAAATTAAACTAATACAGAAAAAAAATTATTAAGGCTAAAAAATAAATAAATAACTAAAAGTAACACAAAATAATAAAAAACATATAAAATTACAAACACTTTGACTAAAAAAATAAAAGCCAATTCAAATGTAAATAATAGTAAATAAACAATCCTAAAATCCCACAGGTCTTACTTTGGTGATTTGAGGTCTCTGTGGATGATCTTGTGGAGGTGCAGGTAGTTCATGCCGCTGGCGATCCCTGAGGCCCAGTCCACCAGCAGCCGTGGTGTGATCTTACGACCGGCCCTGAGAACCTCGTACAGCTGCCCTTGAGCACAATACTCCATGATGATGCAGTAACACGGGGCCTGCGTGCAAATACCCCTAAAATACAAACAGCACACTTTAGTTGTGTTCACTGCACTCAGAAACTGAAAACTGAGCATTTACAGCCACAATCTGGTCATGCATTGTGACCTACTTGAAGCTGATGATGTTGGGGTGCTTCAGCTTCCGCAGGTGTTTGATATCCGTCTCCTTCTGCTCTCTGACTTTCTTGATGGCGACCTCTTCGGAGCATAACTTTCCGAGGAACACGGCGCCCTGAGCTCCGCTGCCTAGCCACTGCAGCTCAGAGATCTCCTCAAACGGCACCTCCCACATGTCTACTGACCAATCAGAACACACCATCAACATAGCGTACAACAAAACTACAGCAAAGATCAGTTTAAAGGGACAGGTTCACCCAAATATGAAAATTCTGTTGTTTAGTTGAACACAAAAGAAGATATTTTGAAGAATGCGGGTAACTGAACAGTTGACGGTAGCCATTGATGTCCATTTTTCCATACTATGGAAGTCAATGGCTGCCAGCAACAGCTTGGTTATCAACATTCTTCAAAATATCTTCTTTTATGTTCAACAGAACAAAGAAACTCATACAGGTGTGGAACAACTTGAGGGTGAGTAAATGATTACAGAATTTGGATTTTCAGAACACATTTTTGCATTCCACTGCATTGCTTTTCCATTGTTTTTCTATGTAAACATGCACTAGACCAGGGGTGGCAACTCACCTGCCTGTAGCTTCCTAGTAACTGTTCAGACCATGATTAGCTTGTTCAGGTGTGTTTGATTAGGGTTGAAGCAAAACTCTGCAGGGCTGCGGCTCTCCAGGACCGATGTTCGCCACCCCTGCACTAGACGGACGTCTTTGATCGTTGTGCTCGCGTCTTGCATCATTATAGCGCTTTGTGCATTCTAAAACTGCCTCTCAAGATGTTTTTTTTCATTCCACTGCCATGCTTCTTGTGTTTCTACTGTGATGGTTTTAAGGCTACAATGGTATCTAGAGCAGCGAATCAAGAACCAGTTCGATTTTTGCTATTTTGATTTTGTGTTGACTTTGTAGACCATGAAGTAAAAGTTAAAATTAAATTAAAGCAATGAAAAACTGTCAATTTTGACCTGTCATTTAATGATCACACTAATATGCAGGTAAACGAAGTATTTAATTTTTATTTCAAGTGATTATTTTTTTATATTTTTTTATTTTAAAAGCATTTTACTTCTTTAATTTTACTTTTTTATGATTTAATTAAGTATTAGCTTTTCATCAACTCACAAACCCCAGTTTGAGAAACCCTGACTTAAAGTAATGTTTAATGCATTTAATGTTGTTGATAACAAACAATGAAATATGTTTTCTTTCTTTTCATATTTTTATATCAATATGGTACAAAATAATCCTATTCAAATATATGTAATAAACGAGTTAGGTCAAAAGTAATCTAAAAGTAATCAAAAAATAAATCAGAATACATTACCTAAAATGTGTAATTTACTAGATTACATTACTAACTACAATTTTTGGTAACACTTTATTTAACATCACCCTAAAGTAAAAACAGTAAATTATACATAATTACATACATAATTATTATTACTTAAATGCTACTATTACTTAAATGTATAATTACTATAGTTGACTATTTGCATGTTTATGTGTCCGATAACCGATATGCAGAACCGACATTCATTTATTGTTTTACTTCTGTTTTTTACACAATTACTAAAGTAATTACATGCATAATTACTATTACTTAAATGTTACTATTACTTAAATGTATAATTACTAGAGATTGAGTTTTTATAACCGATATAGATTATTTGCATGTTTATGTGCCCTATAACCAATATAAAGAACCAATATTTATAATTTTTTTTTTTATTCTGATTGTAGCACAATGTTAACAAAATATTGGTAGATTTGATATTACAAAACCAATATCCGATTACGGAAAAATGCTTAAATATTGGGGAAAAACTAACATTTTTGGTAACATTTTATTTTACAGTGTACTTGTTACTTGTGTTTTTACTAAAGTAAAAACAGTAAATTATGCATAATTACTATTACTTAAATGTATAATTACTAGAGATCAATTTCTTTATAACCAATATCGATTGTTTGCATATTTATGTGCCTGATAACCGATATGCAGAACCGATATTTATTAACTTTTTTACTTCTGTTTTTAACGCAATGATGACAACATATCGGTGGATTCAATATTACAAAACCGATGTCAAAACCGAAAAATGCTTAAATATCTGGAAAAATATCGGTAAAACCAATTATCGGCCGATCTCTAATAATTACACTGTAACAAGGACACCTAAAAAATAAACTGTAACTCAATTTTCATTTTGTAATTTGTAATCAGTATCTAATGGACTACAATCTGTAAGTAGCACTTCATACTCGTCGTCACTAACCTTGCTGCTGAAGTTTGTACTCAGTCGAGTATGTTTTCCCGATAATATTCCACACGGGTCTCAAACATCCGAACAGCCCCTCTAGGAATCCGCCGCTTCCCGTCCCGGCTCTATGAAAGTGCAGTTTGATGTCATCATGTGGATGGTGGTGCGTGTCGTCCCCGCTGTGGTCCATCGGACACCCGCCCTCCTGGTTTTTTTCCTCCCCGCCGCTTCCGCAGCCTCCCTGACCGCAGGACCCCGGCGTCTCGGCCTCCTCGTGCTCCTGCAGCTGCAGCACACTGTTTTCGAAGTGTCCCTGCTCCCGCGTCGAGTCCTCGCTGAGGGCCGTGCACGGCGGGCTGGTGCCACCCGGCTCGGCGTCCCTGCAGGGGGGCTGCAGCTGTTGCAGCGGCATGGGAAGGGTGGTGGGAGGAGCCAAGTCTGCGATGATCTGCGGTGGAGGTGGTGCTGGCGGAAGCAGCGCTTGAGGAGAAATGTTACTGTTGGTTTTCTTCATGGAGTCACCGACGACCGTGAGCTTCAGCTCCTCCTTCAGCTTCCCCACCAGCAGGCTGCTACAGGACGTCCAGGACAGCACCTCCGGGGAGCTTCCCATGGTGCTGTGCGTGTGCATGGGCAGATGCCCTCCTCACCCAACGGGAAATGAGCGGCAAGGCTTTACAGATGAATTCTGTTGGGGTTTATGACACACCTGCATGAGAAAGACAGAGACAATCATGCATTTAAAAACAACCTGATGGGTGCAACTTAACAAAACTGAACTGTTTTTTTGACTTTTTGAATATGAACTGTTTCAACTTGAACATGGAATATGATGCTGAAAGAAAAACACCAAAACAATGAGAAATGAGTGCTGATTTAAAAAGTTAGGTGTCTGCATGTTGCAAAGTTAACACAATTCTTTAATAAAAGTAACATTATACAGAACACAGAAATATAGAGTAAAAGAGGCAATTTAATTAGATTGAACTTTTTAATGCACAGTTTTTGGTAATGAATGAATTATGTAATTTTCTGGATCTACAGTAATTCTATTTCTTTTTTATTTATTTAATTGTATTATAAAAATGATATAATGAATCCTTTTTAGTAATTAATTAATTATGTAATTTCATATTTACAATAATTAATTTTTTATATCTAATTTTATTGTAAAAAAATATATACATTAATGAATTTGAATATATAAAAATATTTAAAAGACCTGTTTTTGACATTTAAACATCATTTATTTGAAATATATATCTTTTGTGCCATTATAAACTTTTACTGTTATTATACACCTTTACTGTGACTTTTGATAATTTTACAGCACCTTTGCTGAATGTAAGTATTCATTTCTTTCTAAAAAAAATTATTATAAATATATTATAATTAAAAAATTTGATATATTGAGTAGATCGCAATGCATTCTGGGATCACCTTTTCTATTAAGCTTGCAATGGTGTGCAATGCTGACTCAGAATTTTTGACCAGCCTTTGCAACTGATGCCTTAAAAAGTCGCCAACACAGGCAGCTCACTAGGTTTCGAAACAGAGCACGTTAAAAAATATCCTTAATGAATTTGAGAAATATAAGCACTCGTTTAAAACAGCAACTACAGCTCTGACTGCTAAATAAAGACTGAAACGGTTGATCATTTTAATTTCCAATCTCATTCCGCACACAGCGCGAGAGGGATTGGAGGCATTTGCATTAATGATGATTATCTCTTTAGAGAGAGAGATAATTCCAGGAAGCTGTCGTTGTGATCCGGTCTCTGTTGATCGAATGTGTTAGTGCTGCTTTGAGATTAAAGCAGAGTGAGTATTAGAAGCTCTGAGAGCCAAACATCTGGCACACATCGCTCACACACACACACACACACACACACACACACACACAGAGAGAGAGAGTCACTGAGGACGAACATCCCATAATCTGCTGCTGTAGTTACACAGCCATAATTTTGCCTGCATTAGTGTCCGAACCAAAGGTCGGCAGCCTTTATGATGTGACATAATCACAAAATATATACAGACCAACAGTCAGAAGTTTCTATTTTCCTCATGTTAGAATAACAGTGAAGAGATTACGTCTGATTTGACCTTCTTCTTTGTCTGGCGCTGTTCACTCTGGACATTCATTAACCAACTTCATCAGGTGTTTTTAAATGCTAGTGAAGACAAAGATATATATATATATATATATATATATACACACACACACACACACACAAAATAAAAGGGATCATGAAAATCACGTTTTTTAAATTTAGTTCTGTCTTGAATTTCACATAATGGATGTTTATATATACTCCACAAGACAAAATAATAACTGAATTTATAAAAATGACCCCGTTCAAAATTTACACACCCTTGAATATTAATACTGTGTGTCATTTCCTGGATGATCCACGATGTTTTTATGTTTTGTGATAGTTGTTCATGAGTCCCTTGTTGGTCATGAACAGTTCAACTGTCTGCTGTTCTTCAGAAAAATCCCCCAGCTCCTGCACACTCTTTGGTTTTCCAGCATCTTCTGCATTTCTGAACCCTTTCCAACAGTGACTGTATGATTTTGAGATCCATCTTTTCAAACTGAGGACAACTGAGGGACTCATACATAACAATTGCAAAAGGTGAAAACATCTACTGATGCTCAAGAAGGCAACACGATGCATTAAGAGGATGATGATGACGTGTAAATTTTTCTTATTTTGATTAAAGATCATATTTTTTTCATTTAGTACTGCACTTCAGAAGCTACATAAATACATACATGTTTCCCAGAAGACAAAATAAGGACAATTTACCCTGATCACCTAATTCAAAGTTTTTCCAAAAATTAAAAAAGGCTCTTAATGCATCGTGTTGCCTTCTTGACCAAAGACTCCTGGTCAAAACAAACAGACAGAAACAGATTGTGGGTAACACACATACTGATAGACCTCGAACAGCTGCTGTACTCTCAGTCACTATTGATCATTACGACCAAACAACCGTCCGGTTACCAAAGCAAAACTCAAACAAATCCCAGACCGACAGACACATGACCTGTGAAAAGAACAGCTCTGTTTATCAAGTCATTTCCTTACAAAACCAACGCATGCGTATATACTGTACAGGATATTAGATACGGGAATCATTTTCAGAACAAACCAAAAAATAAATAAATAAATAAATGGAACTGAATTAATGTCGAAATTTCAATAACATAAATGCAATAATTCTATTGCCGTGTTCTCACTTGTTGGATAAAATAAAATAAAATAAAGCATGAATTAGTATAGTCTAATTCAAATGATTCTTATGAATAATTTTTTGAATGAATCAGTCTTGAACTCTTATGATAATGTGCAGGTACAAATACAGATTTAGTAACAAATGGAATTTTAATGTTAAAAATCTAACCAACTAAAACATTATTTCTAAACTTTTCCTTTAACTTCAGTGTTTTCTCAAAAGTAATGAAAGAATCATTAAGGAATCAAAACTAGAATCATTAAATTACTGTTAATTGTCATCACTGTCAGTGTATTTTATAATATTGTGAATAAATTCATATTTTATTTATATATACACATTTATATATAAGAAGTTACAGGTCTGTGAGAGCCAGAAATCTTGCTTGTTTGTAGGTGACCAAATACTTATTTTACCGAGGAATTTACCAATTAATTCTTTAAAAATCCTACAATGTGATTTTCTGGATTTTTTTCCTCATTTTGTCTCTCATAGTTGAGGTATACCTATGATGAAAATTACAGGCCTCTCTCATCTTTTTAAGTGGGAGAACTTGCACAATTGGTGGCTGACTAAATACTTTTTTGCCCCACTGTATATATTGTTTTTTATTTATGCAAAATTTATAGTAACAAATTGATATAAAAAAAATTGCCTAAATTCACTAAAAAAGTACTTCAAATTCAACATAGAATAAGTAATAATATATGTTGTTACTTCAAGCAACTGGTCGTGCTTGACTCAAAATTATAAGTTTAGTTAAGTTGAATATTTAAGTAATCTCAGCAAATTTTAGGTTGTTATAACTAATTGCAGCAAACAAAAATGTCAGTGTACATGCAAAAATCTGTTTTATTTTTATTTATGCAAAGTGTCAATATTTTTTGCGAACGTTTTTGGTGTGCTAAAATATGAAATGCAAAACATGGCGTTTGTATCCAACTAATGGCATTATGAACTGAAATTTTGCATTCGAGGATGAACAGGTATTATCATGGGAATCCAGAGCTCCTTCAGAAAGCTGCCGTGAAACAGCAAAACTTCAGCAAAGATCAGAGTCCATCAGAGCTGGAGAAAGAGGAGAGATCTGAGCAGCGCTTTTCCACTTCTGATAGACTTAATGAGAAACAGCAGCTCACACACAAACCTGAACACATCTGACCAGCTGCTAATCACAATTCATTACTACGTCCCAACCATGCAGCACCATACAGCAGCTTCAGATTTCTACATTAATGATTTAGTCAAATTATGGGCATTTTCCCTCAGTGAGGACTGCTGAGGATGAGCATGTTATGACTGATAACTGATAAATGGCTGATTTTATAAATCTACTTTGTAAAAAGAAAAAAACAAAAATACCTAAGCATTATACCATTATAGTGAACAGTATAAAAGACAAATTCATATTCCTTTTTAAGTCTAGAAGAGAAAAAGTATACTGTACTGTATTTGCACAAAATATCAATTCCTTAATGCTACAAAATATGATGGTAAAAGTAATGGAACTCTTTAATAAACAATACCAATGAAATTCCAATGAATACTAAAAGAAATGAAGAATAAATAAATAAAAACAAATTCATTTACTTTACTTTACTGCCCATTCTGTTTGTCACACATATAAATACATCCACATAAACACAACATTAAACAATAATAATAATAATAATAATAAAAGGTTTAGAACACTATAAAGCCAACCATTCTCTTAAATTACTTCAAAAATAGTGTGATTTAAACAGATAAATAAAAATAAAAAATAAAATAAAATAAAACCAAATGAACAAATATAGAATAAACAAACAAACAAATAAATAAAAACAAATAGATCAATAAGATAATCATACAATAAAAATTTTAATAAAAACAAATAGATAAATAAACAAATAAATAAATATAAACATAAATACTACTACTACTACTAATAATAATAATACAATAAATAAATAAAAACAAACAGATAAATAATAAATTACTAAAATAATAATAATTAATAATAATAAATAACCAAAAATAGATTAAAATAAATGAATAAATACATAAATAAGATAATGATAATACAATAAAAAATAAAAAAGCAAACAAACCGATAAAAATAAATAAGATATAATAATAATAATACAATAAAAAATAAACAAATAACAAACAACTATATAAAATTGGTGATTTAGGTAACATGGTGTTGATATATTGCTCATCCCTCCTACATTCAGTGGGGTATTAATGTGGGGTATTAGGGGTATTTCTGCGGAGTAAAGTGATCCGGTGAGTGGGTGTGATAGAGCTGCAGCAGCAGCGCATCAATAATGCATCACAAGCGGCTCACAGAACTCTGCCGAGAGTGCAGCGGGAAACTAGAGAGCGTCGCTCAGGTGACCGGCAAACACGTGTGTGTGTGTGTGTGTGTGTGTGTGTGTGTGTCTGCGTGTGTAATTCCACGCCGGCTCTGAGTTACAGTCTGGA